CTTGAAAAGTAAAAGGGAAGGGTAAGCAAGAAGGGAATTGATATTGAGCTAACCACCGCTGAAGCTCGGCGATGCAAAAGATGGTGGGACGCCTGAAGAACGGCCCGGGGTCAGCTGGGCGAGATGCTGGGGCGAGGGAGCGGGAGAAGGAACGCGGCCCTGGACGTGCAGGTGCTTCTCGGATCCTCTTCCTTTCCCGCCTGCCATCTCCCCGCCTCCAGCCCTCCCGGATCCCTGCGCTCAGGTCGGGGGAGGCTGAGCCTCTCTCCCGCAAGGGAGACCTACCCAGGCTGGAGCGCAGAGCTGGCGCCTGTTGGGCTGCTCAGGACACCCGGCCTTTCACGTGTTGTTCATATTCAATAATCCAAGTTGACTTTCCCCCCTTCGCGCTTGAGTGGCTGGAGAAGCCCGGTGCGAGCGAGAGCAGACAGGAGCACTCCCACTGCCCTCCCGCCTCCCGCGACCCTGGCACCGAGAGAATAAAAAAGTCATTTATTGTAGCGCACACGCCATCAGGATCCTTTCCCACTCCATCCTCCCGACTCACGCCACCTTGCAGGGGAATAATAGCTCCGGCCACACTGGCTTTCCCGTTCTGCTCTCCGGATGACTGAATTTCTTTGCTCCTCTCTCCTGTCGGGAACCATCTGAAACTGCCCCCAGGTTGCGTTCCCAGGGGAACCGCCCCCCCGCCCCCGGATTCCACTCGGGGACTAAAAAGCAGCTCACTTCGGCGTCCTCCATAAGACGAACCCCATCCAGGCTGGATAAACCAAACGCGGAAAAGAAAAACGGGTGGGGGCGAGGATGCCCACTGCTGCAGATCTCGCCCCTCCTGGGCCGGGCGGACCCCCGGCGGGGCGCACTGCGAGCCACGTGGGGCGGCCTCGCGGGAGGCGCAGCCCCTCCCGCGGGCTTTGGAAAAGAAACTGCCGAGGACAATGAGCCCCGAAGGACAGGGAGAGGTGGAGCGGGGTGAGAATCTCGTCTTTCACCCCCTCCCCCCTTTGTTGGACATTCCTTAAGTTTAATCATTAAAAGTGGATCCTTAAAAAAGGGAGGCAGCCGCTTAACGCTGCCGTTTCTGACAATCTGCCCCATACACTGTCAGCGAGGTGAAAGATCTGGATGGAGCTTTGTTGCTTCGCTACCAATAGCGGACTCGGGGAGACCAAGCCTCCGATTTCTGGCCACATCAAAGCAGTGATTATGCAAATACCCATTTTTTTTTTTTAAGAATAAAATGGAGGGGGAATTATTTATCACACAATGAGCCCCCTGCCAGGGCGGGAAACAATAGATCAGACCAGATAGCCCTTCTAGCCCCAGGCTGGGGGAGAGGGAGGGGGTGTGGAGCCCTCACGTTTTATTGGTCTAACCTAATTTCACTAATTCTCTTTTCACACATTTTCTTTTGCGGATTCGGAGGCCAGGACTTTCACGCTCCCGGGAGCGCCCTGCATTGGCGCGATTCAGGGGCTGCCCGCTCTATTTAATTAATGCATTCAAAGCACGCCTGGAGCCCGGGAGCCTGGGGGGGGGGCGGGTGAGGAGGACGCGCTTTTAACGGGTTCCAGGTGTCGGTGCCCAGAGTCACAACCTGCCCAAGGCTGTGCGACGCAGGGGGTGCCCCCGGCGGGAGGGGGCCCGCAGCGCCCAGCGTCTCCTGCAGCCCCGGCCCCGCTGCAGCCCGGAGCCCCCTGCGCTCCAGACGGGAGGGTGGCGCGGCTGGAGCGGGCCTTGGGCCTGGATGCCCTGCGCGGTGAATCGGGCTCAACTCCGGGAACGGCCGAGTGGACCCTCGTTCCCTCCTGGCCCAGGCCGCCCGGGGCCTTCCGATGCCCTCGCCCTCGCCACCCGGCTCCTGCCCCGGCGCGGGGTCCTCCTCCCGCCCCCTGCCTCGGCTGGGCCTGGACCCGGGCCCGCGGCGCGCCCAGTGGTAGGCAGCCCGCCTCTCTGCAGCTTTTTCCCCCTTGTTGACCCTCAGATGGATTTATTTAAAATCTGGAGAGGGAAAAAGAAGCCTTAGCAAGGTCTGGGCACTTCAGAACAAATACATGCAACTAGCGCCACGGCCCTGGCGACGCTGAAGCCACGTCTCCAGTGTGGACAGAACCGACCTTGGCACCTTTGCGCGCGTAGATAAACACGCCGCAGCGCGCTCGCTGGCGCTGGAAAGATCTAGAAACTCTGGAGGTGTGGGACTGTCATCGGAAGAATATCTCCATTGCCTTGTTTGAAACGTTTCTCCTCAGAGAGCTGCCAGAAACAGAGTGGCTTGGCTCAGCCCCCCACGAGCCGGCTGGGCGCAGACAGACCCGGCCGCTCACAGTGCGGGCACCAGGCGGGGACGGAAAAGGACGAAAGAGAAAAGCAGCCACACTGCAAGAGTGGCGGCTTCGCCCTGTAATTCTCATTCCTACAGGGGAGGGGAGAGGACCGCTGGGCCTCGGCCCGTAGGCGTGGAGGTTGCCGCGGCAAGTTATGTAGGAAAACTCCTCCCAGCGCGAAATGAGGCAGAAAGACCATCATTCTTAACGGCTAAAAGTGATTAGACACCATAAAAAATAATCGCGCCAATTTAGTGTAAAATAAGGTCTGCTGTAGATGGGGGCGAAGCCTAAGTGTAGATCACAGGCGTTAGATGGAGTTCCTGCCATGTATGACATGGTGCTGATGTATATGGAGACCTGCCAGGGCCGGCCAGAGACCGGGAGAAACTGCAGAGGTGGCTGCTAGGTTCAGCTAGGTCATGGGTTAAGTCGTTAGCTATGTTACCCTTCCTCAAAGCTGTGATTACAGGACCGTCTCCACATCCATGCCTCTCCAACTAGGCCACGAGGGTCGGCTGGTTATAGGATGGCCTCACCAATTGAGGAGGTTCCCCATAGTCTTGGAAGAGTAACTGCATCTGCGAGTTTGCCTCCACAGACCCGTGCCATGAACTGTTTCTTTGGCAAGTGTCCCAAAGGAGCACCATATGTCACATTAGCATCGTCATCACTAGAAGTGGTATTTCTCTTGTATTCACGTTTATGTTTCTACTGTTTAAAAAAGCCAAGCCAGTGAGCAAAGCAATTGCAGCATGAGAGTTTTAAAACATCAGTTTGGTTTGACTGGTGAAATCCTCCCCTGCCCCCCAAGGGCTTAAACCTAGAAGGTGGTCAACCTTCACTGGGTCCTCTTGACCCAAGGCCAATCAAAGGTCATTCATTTCTGTTGTGGGGATTGAGGTGCAAGTTAGAGTTACGTATCTTGAAGATTAGAAAACCATTTTCAATTTCTCTTTGAAGTTCTGACTATGTAATTATTTTAACAAAGATTGGAAAGCTGAGCTATTTCTTTCAGATGATGTTTTATTCCAGCTCCCTCTGAATATTTTCTTTTCTCTGGGAGTTTGCTTTTCAAACCAACAAGCTTGTTAAAATAGCTAATACTGACTCCAGTAAGGAATTTATGAACACTCAGTGACCTCACAGATGTTAGAGCTGGAAGGGGCCCTTAGAATCCCTTCAGTTTACAGAGGACGATTGAAGCTCCAAGTTAAGTGTAAGAACCAAGTTTCTACACACTCCAAGAAATTTCAACTTCACTATTTTTTTTAAATCAAGGTTTCTGAACTTTGGAGCTTATCACTACTTAATTATCATTTAAATCTCCCCTTCCTTTTTTTTTTTTTTTTTTTACTAATCTTGTTTGCTCAGAAATTGATTTCTTAAAAACCAAGCTTGGTTTGTACTGAGAGTTACACTCATGTCAGTGTTAGTGTCTCAACTATGATTCAGCTTCTTGTGATTTCTTAGACTTTATGTGTCAGTGAAATGCTACACACTGATGTTGATGAAAAATACAAGTACTCAATCTGATATAGGGAGAATTTCAGAAAAACACAACTCATTCTTCTAAAAACCACATAAGCAGGAAAAAGTTATAATACAACACAGAAAAGTTATGAAAATTAGATACTTTATTTATAGTTTAATCACAAGAACAACTTCCTTGTTCTTCAAGACGTAAATACATACTAGAATAAACTCTGTAGAATATACAAAAAATACATACTTTTCCCATGAAAATTTTCTTTATAATAAATAGAAAGGAACACGTGTGTGGCTGATCTGGATAATGCTCCGTGTCTGCTTGGGTTCTCAGTCTGTTGATTTATTTTTAATCTCTTGAAAGAAGGGGGGAGTTCCTTCTCCCCTAAAAGGTCGAGATAAATAATGCATGAAGCAATCCTCCCTCCTGATTTTTCCCTTTTCCTTCACATTTTTCCTTTTGATAGAGAGTTCAGCCTAAATTTCCACGCTCGCATTCAGTCATTACAAAGGCTACAAATTATACAATGACTTCTAACCTGGCCCTCTAACAAAACAACTTTTTCCCCCTTATAAATCATAAGAGACAGATGGCAAAATGGAGAAGAAAAAGGAAAGAGAAGGACGGGACAATAGGTATTGTGACGAATCTGGGAAACAGAACAAAGTGCACATCAGAGAGGGAAAGTTCGGTTTGACAGGTGAAATTCCCACAGCCCGCAGACAGCAATGGGAAGAAAGCAGATGCCAGCCATTGCAAATCTGTGGATAATATTATTACCGGTAAAATCATTCAGATGCTAAGATACATTTCTTTCTACTCGACATTAACATCTCTATGTAGAAGCAAAGGTGAAGAGATCACAGGAACCAGTTGCATTCCCCCGGGAGATTCACACGAACTGTACCGAGTCCTCCGACGTTACAGAGAGGGGAGGAGCGTCAGTCCGCGCGGCAAACTCCTTAGACGTGCCGCCTTCGTCTCTTCCCAGCATCTTTTTAGCCGTAAGGAGCGCCCCCCAAACTCCACCATCCTCTTTGACAATAAGCTCCATCACACTTACAATAAATTAGAGCCCGTCTGAATGAAGGAAACCTTTAGCCAAGGAACGCCACAAAGAACCGAGGAATCAGAACGGCTACATCTGCTCTGTGAAGTGGTGGAAAACGGGGGCAGGAGAGGGGTGGGAGGAGGGCTCGGTCGGGGACAGGAAGGGAACTCCACTAAGGCCTGGCGTGGGTGGCAGAGATGGCGGCTTTAGATACAGTCCCGGACTATGGGGAGGTGAGGTGCGTAGCGGTGCTTGTCGGGAGGCGGGGGCTGCCAAAAGTCCATGTCGGACCCCGCCGGGCTGGCGGGAGATAAAGTGCAGCTGTAGGGGGAGGTGGAGCTGGAGGACGCGGAGGAGGACGGCGCGGGGCTGTTGGTGCAGCTCCACGTGGAGGCAGGCGACGGGCTGTCTCCGCCGCTGCTCAGGGCGGCGCTCGCGCCTCCCGGGCTCAGCAAGACGGCCTCGGAGAAGAGCGCCCCCGGCAGGCCTCCACCGCCACCCCCGCAGTGGTCGGCCAGGCGCAGGGTCTCGGTGAGCGCCCAGATGTAGTTGTGGGCGAAGCGCAGGGTCTCGATCTTGGTGAGCTTGGCGTCCTCGGGGAAAGTGGGGAGCACTTCCCGCAGCGCGTCCAGCGCCGCGTTGAGGTTGTGCATGCGGTTGCGCTCGCGGTTGTTGGCCTTCAGTCTGCGCGTCTTCCTGATGCGCTGCACGGTCTCGGCCGTCTTGGCGCCGCGGGAGACGGCCCGCGCCCTGGAGGGGCGCCGCTTGCACTCGTGCAGCAGCCCCA